TATTAACAAAATTAACGAGTTATTAACGAATAATAAAATAACGAATTATTAACAAAATAATTATCAACGAGCTGTAAATCTTCAATACTGAATAAGATTTAAGTAATTTTTAATATAACACTCAGTTACAAACTAAATTGCAATTAATATTATTACACATGGTTAGTTTTGTAAAATACTTTCAGTATTTCAGTAAGGTATCAAACATTAAATGTAGAATATGTACATACCTAAATTGCTTCCTCAAATTACTAATTTTAGATTGAATTTGATATCCAGTTAACGGAGGTACGATATTAAACGTGTTTGAAAATTCAGCTGCCATTTGTTTTTAAATATTTGTGTTTCTTCTTGCAGATGTTAATGCTTTGTAATTATCTTTCCATAAATCTAATAATACTTTTGTGTTAGCCATATTCCATACAAATTTATTTAAAGGAGATGTGCAAAGACCAATATTTGTTGTACTAGCGTCAATACACTCTTTTTCTAAATGCTGAGACATTGTGTAAAATTAAAGATTTACCTACTAAAAAGGATAAGTACATTGAATCTTGCAACAATAACAACAACAACAAAAAGAAGAGAAATAGTTAATAATAAAATTAAAGATTAAACTTCATAATTGCTATAAATGTTATGGGCTTGAAATAATTTAATAATGTTATGGGCTTACTAAATAATTTAATAAATTGCCAAAAACTGGTAGGCAAGAGAACAGAAACTTTCAGATGCTACTTTTACTTTTTTTTACTTTTCCATGCAATGTGATAATTATGTTATTTAATAACATTGATCTTTCAACACTAATGTTTATTTTTATTTTTAAATGTCAATAATTGTAGTACATTGTGGCAAAGATATAAGGTACAGTCATATCAATACAGTCAATCAATAATATATATTCTGAATAAAGGTCTTACTTTCACAATTATTCACAAACAGTAAATTAAATAATATCAAGTAAATACAGAATATTTATGAGGAAAATACTAATGATAATGTTCACAAATTAAAATAACAAGATAAGACAAAGCTAATACAATAAAAAATATATGACATATAAATAAAATATATGACAAAGCTCATATATAACAATATATACCAATAATAATATCATTAATAATATTAATATAAATAATAATAGCAATGATGATAATAATGATAATAATATTAACAATTGTTATTGTTGTTATTACTATTATTACTCTATTATTATAATTATAGCAATAATAATTATTATTTTTATTATTATTATTACTGTTGGCAAGGCCAATGATAAACAACTCTGTTTATTAGTTCAAAGTTGAATTTTATAAATAAAATTACTATAAGTTTATTAAAAATGCATTAATAGCAATGCTTGTAAAGAATATAATTAAATAAAAACTATTAAACAATGAAAATTAAACTTTCTTAACGCAAGTTAAATGTTACCTTGAATTATACTTCTTGTTAATTCAAATTAAAACTGATCTTAATAAAAATAATACTGTCTTTGTAATGTTATATTTTAAGATTATATTTTTAAACACACATATATAACTTCTTTTTAAATTAATAATACACTAATAATTAAATTTCTATTCTATTTATACAAATTTTAAATATCGTTAAAAATAACTTGAAATTTGTGATGGTCAAATAATTGTTTTTAAATAATTGCCCACCATCTGGTCTACTCATGATTGATCCCTTACGAGTGGGATCGGAATTTCCTTGGTTGCATGAAATTACCACAATTTTTACTCAATGAATAAAGATATGAAATTATATTCGAAGAAATGTTTTGAATTCAATAAAAAAGATGGAAGGCAAAAACTAAAAGTTTCAAAGCAACATGTTGAAAGGCAAATAGTATATCGATAATCTTGTCTTGATATATGACCAAGACCTAGGACAATGCAGAGATCAAGGACTAAAAACTCTAGTTAAGATGACAACAACTTTGTAAAAAATAGTTTGATTTACTTTCACAACAAATTTGCATCTTGCAATGCATTTTTATTGAATCATTTAGCTTTTATGCATACGCTTATTTTAAAAATAGTTGAAAATAGGCACCATTTTTTATACAAAACCAAATAAATGTTCCGGAACATTTATTTGTTCTGGGTTGGCGGGACGTCACAAAAGTTCCTTAAATGTTCCTTGAATTTTTGTTCCATTTGCGTTCACACGAGAAGATATTTGTTCATGTTCCATGCTCCACGGAATGTTTCATCAAATGTACCCTCGTGTGAACAGCCTATTAGTTTGGGCTAAATTAGGGATAAATCAGAAAATGATGCACTTAGCATTTTTTTAACAATTTTGCATTAAATTTTTGATAGAAACCAGGCTTTTAAAAATCATATTTGAAAAATGCAGAAGAACGGCGGAAAATGCAGAAGAACGGCGGCCATGTTTTTTTTTCTTTCAATTGTTTTTACTTGAATTCACGAATTCAAGTAAAAACAATTGAAAGAAAAAAAAAATAACAAATTAGCACAATAATATTTTAAACAAAAATATATTTAAAAAAATTAAACCTTTTTATGTTTTATTTTTCAAAATTATTTTTCGACAAAATTATTTATTTATTTAGGAAATACCTTTAAAAAAAAACAGCAAAAAAGTAGTTGTAACCAATAAGTAACTTAAAAAAAGCTTTACAGTTTGTTCTATAAAATAGTTGAACCTAAACCTTTAGTGCCAATGCATGCATTGTCATACTCTTGCTGCCAAGTTCACAAAAACTTTTTTTAGTTTTTTTCTTTTTACTTAATAAACGCTTTTTTTTAAGGCTAAATATTTTAAGTCTGAATGTTATAAACCTGTTTTTTAGCTTCAATTTAATTTGATAACAACTAGGATACAAAGTTAGACTTTTAATTTGCTCATCAGAAATAATTTTCTCTAAAAGTATAGTTTTACAGTTCTTTTGCGAATTAAGGTATGGCTCAAATGATCTGAATATTAACTCCATTTGTAAAAAGATTGCAAATTTTGTTTCATTAGCAAAAAATAAACTACCCACTTTGTGCTCTTTGTCTGTAACAAACTTTGTGTAATCAGCATTAACTCTATTTTTAGAAACTAGAGATTCAAAACAAATTGTGCAAACTTTTTCAATTATTTTTACTCTAGAAATTATATAACCTGCAATATGAAACAAACAATTTTGCTCAGCATTACTTAAGATTAAGTTAGAGGTTTTATCCCTTTGGGTAACACAATGCACTCTCTTTGCTGTGGCTTATGCACCTTACTATTAACTATATCAAGAAAACCAGATAAGAATTGACGGTCATCTATATCATAACTGCCTTTTGATGATTTTATCAAGAATTGGGCAACGCAAATAAGTTTCAAGTTATTTTTAAATTAAAGAGCCAGTAGGAATTACTTGTTTTGCACGTACCAGGGGAAAAAGATTCTCCAGGCGATTGCCTGGATTTTGGGAAAATTGTGATGTCATTAGAAAACCAAACTTTTCTAATCTCTCCAATTTCGCATTTAAATCTTGTATAAGTAAACTTTTATCAACTTCAGTTGTACAAACTGATTCAGATTCCACTTTCAGAAAGACCATACAGCTTTGAATATGAATATACTTCATTGTTATTTACTTCAATTAAAACATTTTCCACAACTTCTCTACTTTCTATCCTTTAGGTTGCAATCGCGTCACAAAACGAGCTACCATCTTTGTAGGGGGAAAGCATTGAACAAAACGCGTAATTAGCGCGTTTTGTTTATTGTTTTATAATTAAGGCATTAAAAAAAACGCGCTAATAACGCGCTTTACTCAATGTTTTCCCCCTACAAAGATGGTAGCTCGTTTTGTGACGCGATCGCGACCTCAAGGGTACAACTTATTTTCTTTTTTTTTTGATATTGGAAAACGATCGAGTGGATTTTTTTGCTTATGTTTTGCTCTAACATGTTTAAAGACTGTAGGAATTGCATTATGTTTGAGTTGTGGTCAAAGTGGTTATGAAAATTTACTTCGTTTAAACTTACCATACCCATCATTACGTACCCTACCCTCTTGATGAAATGGAAAAGTTCAATGGGAAAAAACCATCTTCTCTGGTTTTTTCCCATTGATCAGCATCAAAGTGTACCTAAATAAAAAAATTGAACAAATATAATGTATTTGTATGGATTCTAAAATAACTCATTTCTAGGATTAATTTTATAAAACTGTATTTGCTTATGCTTAATTCACATAAAAAGCTTGTGTTTGTAGGTATCCAGTTAAGTCGTTTAACTTTAGAAGTCCAAATCGTCCGTTGTTTTTCATTTCTTGGGAAGCATTTCATAATAAATCCTTCCTCAGGCCTGTTATGGCAGCCTACTGCAGCACAACCAGGCATACTTTTACAAATATTTAATACAAATTTAGTAGTAAACTTAAATCGCAGTTAAAATTTTTGGAAAAAAGATGGCGTCTAAAATCATAAAAATTGAACAACCAATTAAAAACGATCATACGTATGTCCGCTCTCTGAGTATATTCACGGTTCCTAGCTTGACGTCACGAAATAATTAAGAGTCAATTCTACCATTATGGAGGACAACTAAGTTAGCGGAACTAATATATTAATTATAACTAGCAGTAACCAACCCGTAATACGCGTTGTTAGTAAATAAAATTAAAAAAAAAAACCGCGTATAGAAAAGCCTAGAAACTACTTACAAATAGAAAAGCCTAGAAAATGACGTAGTTCGACTAATAATATTAAGTTAGCGTATTAATATTATCAGATATTCATAGTTTTTACAAAAAAAAATATTATTTTATAAAATTTAATGTATTTATAAACAGAATAAGAAAATATAAATCCTAATCTGATTTATTTATCATTTTTTTAATTTTAAGTTAAAGTTTAATATATAAATATGCAAATATTGTAATAAATATTGAAAATAAAATTATAATATGATCAACTTTTGTGCTGTATTTGGATGTTCAAATCGTGAAAAGGGTAAATCTTTTTTTTGTTTACCAAAAGTAGTTTGCAATCAAGGCGATGATGGTAAGATTTTATCAAAAGAACGTAGAGAAAAACTATCCTGATGTCCTCCACACTCGAATTTGGAGTGATCATTTTGTTACAGGTAGAATAAGCCTTTTTACCTTTGAAATATTTTTATTACTTTGAAAGTTTAATATCATTAACTGTTTAACATTTTTATTTTTTTATTTAGGAAAACCTGCTTCTCTTTTCTCACAGCATGATCCTGATTGGGTTCCATCCTTAAATATGGGGCGCAAAAAGTTTAAATTTGAGTTTGAGAAACCTAGAGAAAGATACTTACGACACAAAAATTGTTCATTGTTAACAAGTCGAGACGATTCTATGTCTTGTAGAACATAATATTGCAATTTCGAGATCGTTATATGGAAGGTTAAGGAAAGATTATGAACTTCCAAGTATTTCCCTATTAACAAAGCTAACTTCTAAACTGGATTCTGCAATGAACGACACAGAGTTTTTTAAATCAGTTTATTCTAAGCTTGAAAATGAAATGCAAAAAAATTGTATGATTTTAATTGACGAAGTTTATGTCAAATCATCTCTTACTTATCATGCTGGCTCAGTCTTTGGTAAAGCGGTAAATAAACCAGAGTCTTTAGCAACTACTGTTTTAAGTTTTATGTTAGTATCACTTTACGGAGGACCACAATATCTTTGCAGAGTTTTACCAGTCTGTGAGCTTGATTCTAAATTTCTGTTTGAATAAACTCAATTTGTTTTAGAAGGAATAAAGAGTGCAGGAGGAATACCGGTAGCCTTAATATGCGACAATAACCGTGTAAATCAAGCACTATTTAAAATGTTTGATTGTGTTGAGCCATGGTTAACTAAAGACAATATGTTCTTGTTATATGACTTTGTCCATCTTCTTAAATCTGTCCGTAATAACTGGGTTACAGAAAAAAGTCAAAAGTTATGTTATGAACATGAAGGGAAAACTAAATATGCATGCTGGTCTAATATCTTAAGTTTGTTCAGGCTTGAAGAAAATAACATCGTAAAATTGTCTAAACTTACAAGTGTGTCTGTTGCACCAAAACCTATTGAAAGACAAAAGGTGTCTACTTGCTTACAAGTAGCCCAAATAACGATATCGCAAACCAACCTACTCTAAGCAGTTCATTTGTTGATATTGATCAAGGTTCTACTGAAAATACTATTTCTGATAGTGAGTTATCTTTTTCAGATGATAGTAAAAGTAATGAGGATGAACAGTTGATATAGTTATTTCAGAAAATCTAGCAAATTGGGCTGTTAAACATAAGTGTACCCAACATGCAGTTAATGACTTTTTAAATCTACTTCGGGATTGCAGTCATAATAAAATAAAACTTATTTTACTAGGTGTAACTATAAATCATTAATTTAAATCATATTATGTACTTCAATTATGTACTTAAAACCATATCATTCCTCAATCTTTGATCCACCAGAACTTTGCTAAATAAACTTACACTGAAAATCAAACTACAAATAAGTCAAAAAAATTTAGACACTTATTGAAATCAGTTCTGACCAATAGTTAATATTAGGTTATTTCAAAAATTTAAAATTTTGGTTATAAAAAATAAGAATAGAATTATGTAAATCTATAATAAATAAGCAAAAAAACGAAGAAATGCAATATTTTTGAAAAATAATAATGTATTTTAAACATGTACTATATATTTACAAAAGCCATTTCACATCATGATGTAATGGTAATAAAACGCATCCTTTTTCAGTTTTGAGATACATGGCTTTTCGTTTTAATCTCGACTTCTCCACTAATTGCCGTTTTACTCTAAGTCTTTCAAAGTGGAAAAAATAAATGTTTAACTAACTGGATTCACATGGTATTGTAAAGAAATTGTCTAAGCAAGCTTTTTCAACATCACACACATAACATAAACCCTTATCATGCTTTATAAAAAACGTACTTGCCATTATTTAGTAAAAAACAATAATCCCTTGCATTTTTTGAAGAAATAACAGTGTATTGATATTTACTTGAATATTTTTCAAATGTTTTCTCTAAATTAGAAACTCGTTTAAAAACTTGCTGTAAAACTAGGTGTAACTATAAATCATTAATTTAAATCATATTATGTACTTCAATTATGTACCTAAAGATTCAAGAACTTTGTTAGGAACCCCAGCTAATATTAGTTATATGTATAAATGTGGAGGAACTTACAAATATTTTGGTATTAAATGTGGTATAATACAGAGATTAGCAAATTTTAATTGTCAAAAACTTGAAAAAATTAAACTAAAAGTTAATGTTGATGGTGTTCAGCTTTTCAAATCTTCAGCTACTCAATTGTGTTCAATTCTGGGTATGTTTGAAAATCTACAACCTTTTATTATAGCATTATTTTGTGGATCTGGAAAACATGATAGTGTAGAAGACTACCTGAGTGATTTTATTAATGAAATGCTATTGTTGAAATTGGAAGGCATATTCTATAATGATAAATTTTTTAGTTTTGAA